CTTTTGTAGTTTACTGTTGGAGACGACCTCCTACCTGTATACTAGAGGCATATTTTCTATATCATTTAATTTGTCGCCCTCCAACCATACCCCACAATTCCCCCATATATGCTTGGTACTGAGCAAAAATCTTAAAGTACCTCTCATTTTCTTATGTTTTGGAAATGGGAAACGGGTGCAGAGATTTATGGAAATGTGCATGTAAATACACGTAAATACAGTATATAAGGCAAAAATAGAGTTTGCACAACTCCAATATCAAAATCACCTTTATCTTTGAACACAGCCTGAACTCTTAGTCAAGCTTTCTTTTATTTCTTTTAAATAGTGCAGGACATTCAAAGCTCTTCTTTGGATGTTGGCTGCCTTTTGTTCTGTTCTGTCAAGATGATCCCACACTGCTTCAATCATGTTGAGATCTGGGCTCTGAGGAGGCCAATCCATGACTGATTGTGCTCCACTGGGTGTTTTACTGCATTGGCAGTATGTTTGAGATTATTCTTGTGCTGAAAAATGAAGATGTGGCCAATCAGACGCATTCTAGATAGTTTTTCATGGTGAGTCAAAGTCTACTTCCATCAGTTTTCTACAAGCACCCCAAACTTACTGGCTAAAATGCAGCACCAAACCATTAAAGAGCCTCCAGTGTGTTTTACAGATGGCTGTAGACACTCACTGTTGTACCTCTCTGCTGACTTCCTCTTTATATACTGATGACAATTTGAACCACAAATGTATACTTTGGATTCATCACTCTATTAGACCTGTTCCTGCTGATTTTCAGTCAAGTTCTTAATGTGTAACTTGTAATACATCAGCCTTTTCTCCCTGTTTTCCTTCATTAAGAATGGTTTCCTGATAGCCACCCTTCCACCGAGCCAAGTTTTTGGCTAATAGCTCATTGTTTGTGCAAGAAAACTTGTCTAAAGAAAAGCTTTGGAAGACCTTCAGAAAACTAGAACTCAGAAAACTCAGAACCATAGGTCAAGACCACTTTAGAAAATGACAAGAAAGTCATGCTGCTTGGAAACAAAATAATAAAGAGACGATGGTGCCTCAAGCTTTCTGCACAGCATTGGTTTTTTTAAATAATAAAGTAGCCGGAGTTTCTGATATCCCCTCCTTTTGAAATGGCCTGGCATTATTATCCTACTTCTGTGAATATTAAATGAATGCTTAATTTCTGTTCCTGTGTCCTCTTGCACTCGAATGCCCGTGGCGATCATTACTCTCCAAATCATGATTTCTGTGTTCACATCAAAGTGTCTGGCAGCACAAGAAAGGAACTGACACAGGCAGATTTTTTTTAACCAGTATTTAGTCCACGCCGTTTGACTGCTTACATGTGCTACACAGAGGTATTTTTTTCTTTTAAGTTACACAAAGGCGTATGTAGGCTCAGCTCCATGCAAGTACCATCCTGCTCATACATTTAATCCATTTTATTCCTGGATTTCCACTCCTCCACGCTGCATTACACAACCACTGCTGGACACCGAGTGGCACCACACTCCGCACACACTCGCAGATTCTCGATTACTTGCCCCACAACATCCAGCACCGTCCCACGCAGGCTGAAACTGCCTCACCTCAGCATCCCACACACTCTCTGCAGCGCAGGAACATCATCGTTTTTTTTTTTCATCTTTGAGTGGTATGGTGTTACTTTCTGCTCCCCAGGCAGCAGTCATCCTAACGACTGGTTATTTATCAAGGTCGTAATCAAACTTCAGCGAGAATCAGCTTTTTATTTAATCTAAGCTCATTCTGACGTTTAAAGGTGCAGTGGGAGTGCAATTTCATATTTTCATCCTGAGTTGAGACTTCTCAGTCTGAACTGATCTCAGACCACAAAGTATAAAATAATGACCACATTCTGTAGCACAAATTAAGTGTGGATGACTTTAAGATTAAGAGCATGACTGAAGCTTCCTGTGAGAGACTAAATCCTAAACCCTGATCACCTGAGCTGTATTGTGCAGCTCATTTAGATTTAGTGCATCCCCCACGTAACATTAAGTTAGTTTCTGGCTGCAGCAACCTTGAGTTGAGTCTTTGCTTCATGTTACTTTTTTTCCTGAAATGTACCTCTCGAGTAAAGGCTTAAAAAAAAAAAAAAAAAAAAAAAAAAAAAAGAATTTGTTCCTTTTAAAATGCTCTATTGCATCTCAAGTCGTTTCACTTCCCCTCAGCTGCTGTCTGGATTTTTCTCTAGATTTCCCGTGCTAGTTTTACTGTCATGTATTCAGACAGAGCGGTAAAATCAAAACACAAAAACACAACAACACAAAAAACAAAACCATTCATTTATATTACATGTATATTGACTGAGCCAAAGTGCTCTTCCCCAACCCGGACGATAATGAATAGGAGTTGTGTGTTATAGAAAGTAATTTATTACACAAACCAAAGCTAGTTTACAAATAGTTTCCAGTCATGTGCGTGTGTATAGCCTAGTATGAACAAACCCACATCTTTTTTCCTATTTTTTTAATATATTTACAGACTTTGCATACAGCTTGTTTTTTTCCTGTTCCTTTGTTTAAATCACTACTTCAGCATCCAAAATAAGGACTTAAAAATACAATAAAAACTAGAAATAAAAATGATTTGTACATGAGAATAAAGTTTGCTTTCCTTTTTTGTCTTTTCAGCTAACAGTGTGTTCAAAAACAAACAAACAGAAAAAAAAAGAAAAAAAAAGCCAGCACTAATTGTCCTAGCGATGCTCTAGACAGGCAGCCGAGAGGCCAGCCTTTCTCCTGACTGCCCAACAACAGCATTTGGCGGGATGATTGATTGGTTATTAAAACCAACAGTAAATCATCAGAAAGATTCAGGTAAAGCACAGAGAAGGAAAAAACAAAAACCTAAAGCAACATAAGTATTCCCTAGTCTTCCACCTCTTATTTTTTATTTTATTTTATTTTTTTAAATACTGATAGACAACATATGTTTATGACTTTTTTTTAAAGAAGTTGGAAATAAAGTATAAAAACAAACACCACGAGACTGGTTTCTAGAACAGGCTCCTCCCTGTAGACCAGGAAGAAGAACAGGAGGGTGCAACGCTTTCACAGAAGAGAGCCAGAATGTGTTAGCAAAATACACAGTAAAGTCAGGAAAGGCTGGTGACTAACCAATCCTCAGACTGGCCATGCCTACATTTTCTTTTTTCTTTATTTTAACAAAACAAAACTATATTAGCAGCAGGTGGTTATTTCTTTGATGTGGCTCACCTGCATGTTATACGAAATCCACCTGGCTGACCAACCTGACAATTCTGGCATTTCTATGCACTGTTCTGGGATAAAAAGGTCATGTCACTTTGTTGTTTGTCTCTCTTTAACAGTTAAAGCAGATGAGAGTTACTAACAGGCAACCTGTAAAAGGGATGGTAAATCCCAGGTATCCGTTCCCTCCCCCCCTCAAAAATTTACCTGATCTGCTTAATGTACACATGACCCTTCTACATGCTTACACAAGGCACACACACGTAATATTCATAGTCATTCATCCCAAATAAGGAAATCAGTGGTGTGCATGTAAACATTACTCTCCCCTCCTTGTTCTTTGTCCTGGCCTAAAACCAGAGGAGGATGAGCACCAGCGGCCAGCTGTGGAACAGGAAGGGATGGGAGCAGAGCCATGGCAGTTTGCTCAGGTGGGTCTACGCAACACAGGAAGCTACCTTTGTCTTCCAATGGGACCACAATTCACCCGCCACTTCCACTGATTCAGTCTGATGAACTTAAATGTTAAAGAACCCTCAGATGTGAACTAAAGTAGACAAACCAGCTGCATGTTTATGCTCATCTTGTCTGGCCACCAAAGGCACACTGCTGCTAACCTGGAAATAACTGAACCTGGCTGTGTTTTCTAAAACACTAAGATCATCTGAAGCAAGCAGATTGTGATAAGCTACACTTCAGATCTCGTTTAAAACAAGCAGCTAGTCTCAAATAACAACAGCACTCAATGTCAGGTGTCTGCAACAGATTATCCAGTAAGAGTAGAGGCTAAATGTGTTTGTCACAGAGTCTATAAACAGAGGATTAACTACAAAGAGAAACTAAATGGCATGTGAGCATGCTCCATGCCTCTCCAATAACACAACCCACCTGACAGCATGTGACTACTAGTTTAATCCTATCAATAAGAGAGTTTTTCTTCCATCGGATTGAAGTGCTAGCTAATACACCTCAAATTTGTTTCAAGCACCATTCTGAGGAGCACTCAATTTATTTAACTGGCGATTTGTCTCCTATTGAGGGCTGTTTTAACTGACCTACAGCATATAACGAGTAAGATAAAAGTGCAAAACTAGGAAGTGATGCCCTGGCTTCCCTGTCTTATCGTGGCCACTTCAGAACTTCATACATCCCATCCCTCCATCTTCCAAACTTCACACCATCTTAGCCCTAATTCCAGGCATGAGCACCTGGGGATGAAGTCCACTGGTGGCCTTTTACAGTGGTACTCATTTACTGTGCTGTCCGTTTCTCCCTTCCGTCTGTCTGGTCATCCATTCAGGTAACTTTAAAAAATTTTGTTATTGTCCCCAACTCCCTGTAATTCATGAGCAACTTTATCAGGGCTACCAGTCAGCTAGATTTTACGAAGGACTCGATCTTAAGGATCTTTGTCAGTGTAAGTGGCTTGTTGAAAAGTAACTGTTCCAGCATTTGGCTGGTCGCTGGTGTAAATTTCCCACCCAGATGGTAAACCCACAGGTAAAGAGCCCAATGGTTTACAGCGGTAGTCGTTTACCACCTCCCTTCCCTTCGTCTCCCCACCTGTACTTTGCCATCAAAGCCTTTCAAACCCAAGTCCCAGGGTAAATTCAGTCCAACAAACAGCCAGGTTACAGCGGTAGTCATTTACTGCACTCTTTTCTTCCTCCCCCTCCCTCCCTCCCATCTTGTAATCCCTCTGTCCCTCCCAAGCCCTATCCCCAGGTATAGTAACCCAGGGTGAAACAGTCCAAATATGACGGCCAATTTACAGTAGCACACATTTATTGCTCTTTTTCCCACGACGGGCCTGCAGTGCTGCCCTGGTGGCCATCTCAAACACCTCCCGCACGCCGTCCTTTGTCTTAGCAGAGCACTCCATGTAGCCAAATGCTGCAATCCGCCCGGCCATGTCTCGGCCCTCTTCTGATTTCACTGGCTCCTATTAGCCGAGAAAAACAAAGTGGTAGTTTAGGAACACACATATACTAGATAAGTGTTTAATCTCAAACAGCTTTTGCTATAGTGACTGGCAGAAACACGGCACCACTAATTCAAGATCTAAAAATCAGAAGAACACTTAAGATTCACTCTCGCTTAGTTCAGAACAAACATGTTAATTCAAACCAAGTAAAAAGTCAGGCACCTGTTTCATCTTGGCCAGCTCTCTCCGTGTGTGCTCGTCATTACGCAGATCTTTCTTGTTTCCGACCAGAATGATGGGAACGTTTGGACAGAAGTGTTTGACCTCCGGGGTCCACTTCTCTGGAATGTTTTCTGTAATGGACAAAGACCAGAGACGGGAGGCATAAACAAACAAATAATTCAATTGTTTAAGTGTTATAACTGTCAGACTAAAATTTAATTGAGAGCCCTTTGTGCCTGAGGTGACCCTTTTTTCTTTTTCTTTTTTTTGCTTTAAGATATTCTCCAGTGATGATGTGTCCATCCCTGCCCTGTTCCAGTGGACTTGTTTATCTTTTTGTAGCCCTCTGTGTCTCACTTAAAGGAGAAACAAAGTACTATTTACCATTTAATCCCATTTTTTCATAGGAAAAGTGGGCACCACAAACCATCATTGCATTCTTTGCAAAAAACAAAGCAGTTTGATGTCACAGCAGCTGCATTTACATTTAAATGTGTTAGCAGAGTAAAATTGGAGGATGTCAGCGTTCTGATCAGTCTTTAAAATTTAAGCTTATGCAGACATAATTAAATTATGTTTCTGAAAAGAAGAAAGAGCTCTGCTTTTATCTCCACTGAGTATCAAATGTTATCTTACTTGGTCAGCAAAAAATGTTGCTTTGAAGATATATGACAATCTTTCGTGCAATAAGACTTTGTTTTATTACAACTATGTCCTTTCATTGAATCTTAATTAATCTCTGGCAGTTTAATTTTTCTGCTGCTTTTATCACTTTTATGTACAGCCATTTCCATGTGATCATGGAAGTGCTGTTAATAATCATCATGAGGAAAAAAAGATACGACTCTGTTTAACAGCAGGAATGGATGACACTACATAACAAACGAGTTGTTACTCTGCGTGCACAATCAAAACAGTCCAGAAATATCTTCTAATGAAATCAGAAATGTGGCAAACAGAAAAGAGAGAATTTGTTTTATTTATGTCATGAGTGTATGCAACTGCGAGAATGTGTTTGCTTTGTACACACCCAAGCTGTCAGGGCTGTCTATGGAGAAACACATGAGGATGACGTCAGTGTCTGGATAGGAGAGAGGTCTCAGTCTGTCATAGTCCTCCTGACCTGCTGTGTCCCAAAGAGCCAACTCCACCTGACCAACATTGAGAAAAGAGAAGGCAAAGAAGGACAAAAGATGAGATTTGATGAAAGGAGAACAAGGAAAACTTTTAAAAACTGATCAAAAGGGGATGGAAAAATGTGTAATTTTCATCTTGATCAGCATAACTTTTACACTGAAGCCAGCAAAGAAGGTGAGCAACACCTGCAGCAGACAGTCCTGACAACAAAGGCTTTTTTTACAACCTTAAACTGGCAAGGATTACTAACATAATCACTAATTATAATTTGAAAAAGACCTGAAAGAGTGATGATCTATGATATGGAAATGATAAATACATTTTTTTTCCCCAGCTGTTGCCATTCGATAGTTCAAATATTCTCTCCACAACCTTTTGAATACCCAGTTTGAAAGCCATATAAAGCATTACATTATAAGAGAACATCCACAAGCTGCCTAAAATCAATCACATTCAAAGAGCAATTTTAGTTTAAATTAATATTTCTGCAAAGCCTTGGTATATGTAATACACGTGCCAAATTTGTAAGAGGTAGGGGAAAAAATACCAACAATGTGCTCACATAAATTGTGCTCTTGTTCATTCTGCACGTGCCATTTAATTTCAGAGACAATACAAAACACGACAGTGACATAACATCTTCTCTATACAGAATGCAAATCTAAATGGTAAAAGAAGGCATTTGGAAAAGTGTCACACTTCAAGAAGCATGAATCCTTTGCAGCAGCACAGGAGGTTAGAAATCAGACAGCCAATAAAGACTTCCCGTCCCAGAATCCTATTAACCCACAAAGAGGTCAGGACTCAAGAGTTTGTGACTGATGAGGCTGGCTGCCGCAGTTATCTGGGAACAACTAACTCCACCCACACAGGATATGTGTGGAGTGCTAAATAATCAAATCCACTGAACTCCAGAGCAGAGTGTCCTACTATATTTTATATAATCCTCACTTAGTGCAAACACACAAGCTACAGACACTTTGTAAAACATGATGACCAAGCTCAAAAAGAAACCAGACTTAGCAGATGACTGCTGTTGTGTGAAGGAAGATGTGAAAATGGAACAGTACATTTTTTCAACACTTGCTCACTTGGCCCTGAAGGTAGAATTAAAGCACTCAGCATGATTAAGCACCCAGGAAATGAGTCCCAGCACAAAAACCAGTGCAGCTAGTAAGGAAGGGAAAGATGTGCTGTGACATTTAGAAGACCCAAGACTGAGTCACCTACTTTATTAAAATATTCAAAAAATATAATTCAGGTAAGAATCTTTAAATGGCATTTGTTCACAGAGTAAAACAGTCACTTATGCAGATGGGTCAACAGGTCTAAAGCATCTACCCCAAAGCACCACTCTTACATGACATTAAGTATCAGTAGGCAGTGTAGTAGTTCGAATCCCTGCAGTTGTCTCACCTGTTTGCTGTCCACCTCTATGTCAGCAACGTAGTTCTCAAACACAGTGGGGACATAGACTTCAGGGAACTGATCTTTGCTGAAGACAATTAGAAGGCAAGTCTTCCCGCACGCTCCATCCCCCACTATTACCAGCTTCTTACGGATGGCTGCCATCCCTGGTGGAATACAAAAAGGAACATTTTAATCAGGGAACCACAGGAAAAGCGTTGTATGAAGTATATGTATAGCATGGCATTATAGCAGAGCATCAAAAAAGCACTGACTGTAACCACTGGAAGAATTACTCTCCTGTTCACAAATAAAATTTGTGCTACTCAGGTCTTGTTTGACTGCCCATTTTGAGCATGAGAACAGAGAAAAATGTGAAAGTTGAGTCACATTTGTGCCACATAGAAGGGTAGTGTTGCTAGGTGCACCTGAACTATGCAACACTACACTTAACACCTTTAAACCACATAGCTGAAAAGCAACTCAGTCTCAGAAGCCCCCCAGAGTTGTGAAATGATTAATGAAATCAGAAAATAATCAGAAATATATTGGTATCACTATTCAAACTGATTTGAAAACAGGGTATACTTGATAAAAATGGCAAAGAAAAGAGCAGGAATCATTTTGTATTGGGGTAAAGTTAAACTTCCTGCAGGCTACTACATATAGTTTGTTAAAAACTAAAAGGTTAATTACGTTGTTCACATTCTCGATGTAAAATTGAGTAAATAACTGTAACCCACTTTCATTAATAATCCAATGTCTTGTGCATGTAACTTAAGAATACGTGTAGTGTTTACACTGTCCCCTGTTCTTCTAACTGCACTGCACGTTTTCTGCACTACCTATACACAACATCACAAAGGTGTTGCGTGGTGCACAAAGATGCGAGCTACTAGGAAGTACTGAGTCAAGGTTCCAGTAATTCATTATTGTAAATGACCCAACAAGCGCACCAGTGTGGGTGTGAGATGAACTTGCCCAACAGAGTTAAGGGAAGTTAGTGCAAATGAGTGACATGCAGTCTTGTGTCACTGGTTTGCAGCAGCTAGGATCAGTCCATGTTGGGAAATTGCACTCAGCTGAATGTTAAAGACACGAAATGAGTGCCAGTGTTTTGGATTTTCTGCTGAACCTCCACAGATATTTTACAATTATTTAATATGCACTGCTGTTTAAACTATGGAAAATGACAGCCACATTTAAAAAGAAAAAAAAAAATCTGAGACACTAAACAGGACAAAAGAAGGTGACTTGTCTTCATTTGAATAGGAAATGCGTTTTAAATGCTAGCGTTGTTCAGCTGGACACACTGAAACGCTCTCTTTATTCATTGAGCACACATCAAACATAGCTCATTTGTCATGGTGGCCCTGCTGCTTAGACTTTCACACCAACACAGTACATATACTGTGTACTTGCTAACAGCACAAGGACAACGGGACCTCACATAGCAGGGCTAATAAATCACATCCCTGAATGGATATTTCCTCCTTGGTTTGAGAAGGTATAGCAGTGTGGAGTGCCAATCATCATTCTCTACCCTGCTATCTCCATCATAGTGAGTCAGGTGGAGGCGTGGTAGAGAGCAAACTGCTTGACACCTCTCCTGTTGTCTTTCAATCCATCAGCTAAAATATGGTGTTAATCTGCTGCAGTTCTGGAGATGTATCTTTGTTTAACTGGCCCCTTTAATCTGCTAGGGTGCCAGAGTTTTATTGATGTACTATAGTTTAATAAAACCCCAGCTGCATGAAAATAAAAATTAGTTAATATACCATTATGTTTGTGTGTGCGTCCATATAGTAATTTGCATGCAACTGAAATTCTCAGATACATGTGCCTACAGTCTTTAGTTTCTGGCAACAAAATCAGTAAATTTCTGATGAAAAGGCAGCGTTTTCCTAAAGCACAGCACATCTGGACAAAGGGCTTACTTCCACCACTAAGATTTTTTCCACAGAACACATTCATCAACCACAGGTTAAATTCACACATGCTAGAGTTCCTGTCACTCGCTGGCTATGTTGCTCTTCCCTGTGGGCTTCACTCTCTCATTTTTTAAAATTTGCTTGCCAAGCAGAGCAACTGTGACAGAGCTGTTAATGCTCTGGCCAGGACTGGCTTGTATTGCGCTCAGGAACAAATTGCGTTGTCTTCATCTTATGCCCGCTGCTCTGCTCAGTTAGCCCCTTCCCATAGAAATGAAGAAACAGAGGATGAAGCAAGTGAACATAAATTAGTTAATAATTATGTTACACATTTTCTTTTCAATTTCTAGTTATCAAATCTAAAAAGCATGGAAAGCATCTCATAAATGGTAGATGAATTGTCTAAGTAGGACATCGGCGTCCAAAAAAAGGAGAGAAAAAAAAAAAAAAGGATCAGACCACCCCCACCATGACTTGAGAATAAAAGGAAAAGACAAGAATTGGGGCAGCTGTAGCCTAGAGGTGGGTATACAGTCAATTTGCCCACTAGGTAAAAATGAGTATCTGTGACCTCCTTTTGATGAATGTTGGTTATACGTCAAGTCGTTAAACGTACCAACCATGCTTAATAGCTAGCAGGGGTCTCCGCAATAGAAATGATATAAAGCTGGTTTTAGGCATTAATTTCAGTAAATACAATTATCACAATGTAAGTATGACCTAGTACAGAAGTGCTGTCAAAAGATTAATATAGGTTGATTATTAGTTCTTAGGGTGAATACTGATGGCCAAAGTACAAAAACTACATAACAATGTTGCCCATCCCACACATGATTGAAAGCTACAAAGCGTGTTTTCAGATTCTGGAGCTGTGAGCACGCTAGGATCTATGACGTAATGTTGTCATCAGACAATGACTGTGACGCTCTGTGCACGTTTCCACATACCTGCCAATTTTTTTTAGGACGTGTAGATTGTAATGTAAAATCTCTGGACCAATGCATGAAGTAAACATGCACCTTTCAAGAGGGCATCATTGAATAATGACTAAGTGCCCTTAGTGTCTCTAGATGTACATTTAAACGACAGGATAATTGTTAGTTAATCATTCCTTTTCTAAAATCCAGATGTACTCAATGAAAAAATAAAACTTGAGCATTGTCTACCTGTTTACAACAAACAGAATGTGAACTGAAGATTTCCACACATCATCATCGGCTGTTAAAATTTAGGCAGCCCATTTTTCATAGCCATGCTAAATTTAAACATGTTTGTCAATTAACAGGAGTGACGTAACAAGTCCTTTTCAAAAACACCACATTCTCAGACATCGACATCATGGTGATAACGCAGATAGTGGGCAAGCTGACCGTCACTAAAGATAGTATATTGTTCGAGTTTAGCAAAACACAGCTGGTTATACAAGCTGTGTTGTATGCTGGATGAGCAGCAAACCAAGGTAACATGTTACTTCACTTGTCATTCATAACCTTGTAGATAGTAAGGACTAGGCTACACGTGCAAATCCCCACCCCATTAGCATGGTAGTCAGCAAGAGTCTATTAGATTAACTCAAATGAGAGCGACGTTGACAACCAACAGGATCAAATTACAGCGAAGAGTACACAGAGAAGCAGAGAGCAACAAATAACAACTGGTTAATATACACTTAGCCAGCAATTTTTTGTTAGTTTGTTAAAATATTATATTTTAAAAAATCAAGTAGGCATTTCTGGTTACTTATGAAAAGCAGTCCTGTTTAGATACACAACCACTTTCAAACACAAAAACACTTCCATAATGCTTTCACACGTCATTCAAGTGTGAAGTGAAATGCTATTCTGTCAGCATTTTCACTTTGTATGACACAGCCTTAAACATTACTGTGCACCTGATGATTCATTATCTTGTCTGCTAGAAAGAAAACAACAACAAAAACAAAACAAAAAGACAAGAAACCTTTAGAAAGTGCCACGGTGGCATTGATAAGGTGTGTATGCTTGGTGAGGAAAAACCCCACACATACATTCTCCAGGGTGGAAAATTACCCCCACTTAAGGCTGGTTAACTGACTGCTGGCTGATAAATATTTCAATTTCTGACAGATACTTGACACAAGCTTCTTCTGTGATCTAACATGTATGTGCTGTACATATTGATAATAAATTGCAGCCCAAAGAAATGCAATTTATTATCAATATGTACAGCACATACATAACGGAAAAATGCAGTATAAAAATATCCCCTTTAAAACTGCTTGGTAATGTATGCGCTATTAGTTTGCTAAAGCACTACAGACTTGACAACATGTCATAGATCTTCAGCTAATGAAATGACTAGGCTGCTCACAAGGGTTGTATTCAAGAAGAGAAATATTTGCATTTCAGCGATTTTTCCCCTAACATAACCTGTACTTAATGTAGGCAGTAGTCACCTGCTGTAAGCAGTTTGGCTAGAGATACACGGTGTATGAATTTACTTTGGAACTCAGGTCATTACATGTCAAAGTAACAAAGACGAGCTTGTTATACTAGCTACCTTTGGTCAAGACAGACCTTTAAATTATGACCTTACAGTATTTGCTCATCGAGTTAGCTGTCTGGCCATGTCCCCTGTGATCTAGGAATTCTGTCTGTGTGAAAGATTGAATTGAAAACAGCTTCTTCACACTGGTCAAACCCATGTTTTTTTGACTGGATGTCATCTCAGTCTACCAAGTACAATGTTGCTGAACTTGATTCAACATTGTGTGTACTCCAGCTTGTCCCTGCTGGTTTGCTAAAAGTGGCTAGACAGCCATCTGTAAATATCAGACCATTGTCGGTATAAACAGTGCAGATGAATCTGTACGTCACGGTTTCGGTTTTGCCCTGTATGCGATCAGATGATAATTCATTTATTTTAAGGGTGTAGCATTTCTTTAAACCCACGGTTCAGTTCATCTCTCATTTTTCAGGCAGGTACGAATCTAGAGGAAATAACTATTTATGCCACAGTTTTTGATCATAAACAAAATAAAATAAATCCAATTTTTCTTTTGAATTTTCAGTGCATTTCATACTTGAATGAACTTTACCACACTCAATGTTTTAACTAATAGCACTAGCAGCTCCAGTTGGGCATCACAATACACGAAGATAAAAACCACTGTAAGTTACTGTGGGAGCAATTCTGGTCTCGGTTTTCAAATTTACTTTTAAAGTATGCACATATGTGATGCTCTTTCAAGCCCAGTTCTATAAACAGGAAATGTTTTTTACAGCATTGAACAGATTAGCCATGTAGTGTTATAAACATACAATGAAACACACATACTATAATGTGTACTTTACACAACATTAAATTAAAGGGAACAACATCGTGGGCCTTATTAATACAATACATATAGTAGAAATGTAGGTTCCTATTACATACTACATTCTGATAACTGTTCGTTGATAACTACATCTTACTGAATTACTCCGCAAACAGGAGGCACAGTCATCAATCATCAATTAAAATGAAAAAGAAAACCATAAGTAAAAGCACTACTGTCAAATTTCAAAGGCTCAATCAATTCTTGTTAACAACAATTTCAAAATGCATTTCAGTTCTGAGACTCCAGTTACCATAATCAATACCAGAAGCTTTTATTAGCTTAGGTTAAGCATACCATCAAGTGTATGAGACCAGTTGATCTACAGATAAGCACAGCCAATAAAATTACTGTTAAACATTTAATATACACCATTTTAAAAATGATTATGGTACCAACTGCAATTTAAAGAATAAAATAAAAACAATTACAGTTGCTTTGGTACAAACCTCTGGAGACACTATTGTGGATAATAAGGCTGCAGAACAATTACCAATAATCAGCACACAAATTCCAGCCACCCATTCATCACCATCCTACACTTTGGGCTTGTCTTTGTCATCACGCATGTACTGAAATATATGTGGTATGGGTAAGAAGTCTTAATCGGTATGAAATTATTTTGACAAAGCTGACCATTTATCTAAATTGGATACTGTTCAAAAGCCATCATCTTCCTCTATTACAGTGGAGAGGATATGAATTTAGTTAACAGCTTCAAGGGCAACAACCCGCAAGTCCTGCAGTAAAACCTTGCTCGTGTATTAGGAGGCAGATTCAGAGTGATAGAACCTTATGAAGGAGTTACCCTGGAGGCTATTCTACATGGAAAAGAATAATGTCAAGAAATATTTACTTTGATTATTAATGTACAGTACTTTAAAATCAATTTATATGCTAAACAAAAAGCTATGCTTTGAGATTGTGGTCACTGGCTCCGGCACTAGATTACATGTAACAGTTTCTCATTATTAGTCAAAGAAAAGAAAAAAAAAAAGAACAGGAAATACTTCTGTCAACTTGACAATTACATACACTGCTACCATCTCCCAAAGACTGCATTAGATCTTTAGTTTTGATCACACCCATGATACTGTCACATCAACAATAACCATAACGCATAAATATGATGATGGATCACTTTGGTATCACCAAGCAACACCCATGTGGCGGGTTAGAAAGCTGACTTCTGCTATACATGGTCGTCCACTATAGCCAAGGTACAGAAAAAGTTGTGTCGCCTGTGAGAGCTCGGGAGTGTTAAACCAAACATTTTTTTAACCAGCTAGCCACTGGGTGGGTCACCAGAAAAATGGCGTCATCACAGAGGCAACAGATGGCTAGTGTGTCCGCAGTGGAAGAATGGGTGGGTGGCCAACATCCAAACTACACACCAAGCGAGATCCACACATAACACGTACGATTTACCAGAGGTAAAACCTTCTCGCCACAAAGCGTCTCAAAGAAAACGCAACTCTTAAAATGCCCTAATAAGTAGAAATGGTGCGCCCAAGTACAACTGACGCCTTCTAAAGCGTACAAAATGACGAGAAATATGAATTTTAGGTTTTAAAGAAACTGCAACGCTCTTTCACACCGCCCTTCTTATCTTTAACTAGTCACGGGAAAATTATAACCCGCCTAACAGCCATACTAACAGACAAAAAAGAGACGCCGGAGAACCGCCTGATCAGCCGAGGCAAGTCAGGAAAATCGCCTCATTGTTTGGTTAAGACTCGACAATCTAGACCAATCTTTGCGGTTCCATTTATAAGCCTTGCTAAGTTTGCACAGTTTGTAAACAGTGCCCGGTATAGCCTGATAATTTTCTTTAGGGGGAGGCAGGGGTCGAAAGACTTTCTACGATAAGCACACACTAGTTTTTTCTTCAGCACAACTGAACAGCAACTGCGGAAGCGGCACTAAAATAGAGGTCGGCTCGGGGAAAGGCTAACTTAGCTACCGTAAGCTAACATCGCTAGCTTTTAGCTTTGCTAGCACGGCCTCGCTCAGCTCCGGGCAACTTTAAAAAAATATTTCCATCACTTTTAAAAATAACAGTGCGAAAGAAACAACATTTCATCATAGTCGGATATCGCAGAAAGTTGTTTACCTTCAGTTTATGTGCCTAGCAGTTGGGTTTTTCAGTGTTTCCCGGACCAAAGTTGTTTTTCCGACCAGCCGACTCGCTCGCTGCTTCCTCCCGTCTAAATCTGATACAATGAATTACTTGACGAGAGCGAGCCGCTAAGGTTTGTAGTTTCTAGCAGAGGGGGAGGGGTGGCGGGCACGAGCCTGAGAGCCACACCTGCGCGGGCACGACTTGGTATGAACACTTGTGGAAATGTGTAATTTCAGGGTACTATGTGAGCCATAAACACAGTCTATTTCACAGGTGGAATTAAAAAAAAAAAAGACTTTCACTCAGGTTAACATGTGTTTTAAAACAGCGTAAGTGTTTCTATCCAACCAAAAGACTTTTACAAGGGTTTCCAATTACAGGTAATCTAAAATAATCTTACTTAAACCACTACGCGGTGTCCAAAACGACTGACTCCAACATTTCCTTACACCTTAACAGTAACTCGTTTTCCTTAGGTTCCAGCTAATTGTAGCTTTGGGCTAAACAAGTGACAGTGGCCATTACTGTACTGGTCCAGTATAAAATAAATGATGGGGTTATGCCCCTACGGGCGAAAATATTTTAAGAACCGAGTTAATTGAACCCAAGTTATAGCTTTAAGGTCCAATTCTAAACAGTGCCAGAGCCAGAGCCTAACAGGAAAAACTTTGTGCTTACTGCCCCACCTGGCGGTCAATTTCAGAAAACAAGCCAATTCAGAGGCAGGGAGACGAAATTGTGTAAAAATGTTCCTGTAAATATGAAAAACAAAATAAATATGTTACACTACAGGTTTTCCTCACCTCTGGCAATATATAATATATGCCAAATTAATCACACTTTTTACTTTACTAGGAATTAAGAAGTATTAGCCAAGTCCTTCTAATAAATACTACTGTGTGATCACCTCTATAAAAGAAAAGGCTTTGGTAGTATTTGTGTTAATGCAATGCCAAGGAGGAAGTGCATCAACAATGATCTTAAAGAAGCAACTGTTTCTCCCCTTCATTCTGGTAAGGGTTATAAATTCATCATTATACATTAGGATTAGTCACTAGTGGAAAACATTCAAAACAACTGACAGTCTTCCCAGGAGTGGACGCTACAGCAAATTCACCCATCAAGGTTGGACTGTGCAATGCTCAGGAAAGCTGAAAAAAACCAAAAATCTAAATTTAGGATTCTAAAGGTCTGATGTGTGACTTATAGTGACATGTAAAAACTCTTTCACATGACTACTGAGCCCACAAATTCAATAGTAGCTCCACAGCAAGGTACCAATTACCACAAGAGTAATACACCATTCACTAACATTTCATACAATCGCCTTTTATTTCATATTGAGATGAACTAATATATTTGAAAATCAACAGAAGTCTGTGCAAATGCCACAGTACAGAGAGAGAAAGATGTCCGTAGTGTGAACGAGATCTGCTGGAGCAAAAGTAGAGACAGAGAAGGAAAATGGAAGTAATGAAAAGCAAGAAAAATAAACCTTGTGGGTGATCAACTCTGCCAAAACACAACAGTCTCATCTTTCTTAACCATTTTTTATCTAAAGCTCATGAAGTTTGGTGTTTCCCAAAACAATGACATTTTTCCTAGGACTATGTTGTCTCACAAAGTGTCTTAAAGACTTGACAACCTTACATGTACAGCATCCCCCAAACACCCAAATGTACCTTACAAGTGATAACCCAGCCATATCAAGCAGTGATTATATTTAATGTCATTGTTACAACTCTCTTTTCTCAGCTCCACATTTGTAAAAACACTCACTGGAAAATTAAGACAAGAAAAACAATCAGATTAATAGAGGCAATAGTTCTAAAAGAAGTCTTAAATTCTGATGTAACAACACATGAAGCCCTTCAGTTACTCGTCTTCCAATTTTATACCTTGGGCATACAATTTTCATCCATCTCTCATGTGTCTCAAAGCAAGGAGCTTGTTTAAGACCTGAAAAAATTGAACATAAAATTATGTAACTGGACATCCAATTGGGAAATGATTTGTGAGAATACATTTAAGGATGAATGTAAGGGTGGAATGAAACAAGCTTTAAAAAAGTCACCATGCCCGGCTGAAGACATGATACATGTGAACAGGGGAAGGGGGAAAAAAAAAGACTTGAACCAAATTTATGTCGGCCAAGTTGCAATGCTAGCATTTCTGCAGAGCCTAAAAGAGAGGCCACTGTAATTTAACACTGAACAGCACTGACATCATTCATTATGCTCGTCTGCAGTTTTTATAGTTTGACCCAACTGTACAAAGGGATAAGACACACAGACAGGATCTGCCTTCTTCACTTTAATGACATTTTAATTCAAGGGGGGGGAAAGGAAATAAATAAAAAACAAAACATTGGAAACAGGACTGGAGGTGAGGTTTGGCTGAATGTCAGACTGACGAGATTCAGTCTGAAACCTCAGACTGCCAGCGACAATGCTCCACGGCCTTCAAACCACTAAAAAAAAATAAAAAATAAAAAAAATAAAAAGGTACAACTTCACCAAATCACTGAACTTCACAGTTATCTGCAGGCAACCGCATTAGCATGTTTTGCTGCAATGCTGATTTTGTGATGCAAGCTGAATTGGGCAGCCAGTCAAGCTTAACACACACTTTTTAACTGCTATTTGACTATTTGCGGACTATCTTGCATGTAAAAGGTATGAAAATGACACCATAAAGCTGTAAATTGCACTGTAATTCTATGCAATTATGTACAAAGTTGCCTTGACTGTTTTTATCCGTTGCTACTGTGTTTGATGGTCGGGTGCAGTGTTAAGTATCAGACGTCTGACTGCAGCTTCACCTGCTCCACTCTGAAGATCAGTTCCTGTGTCCGTTCATTTACAGAAACAGTAACATTCAAATTAATGTAGAGGCCCAAATCATCCCATGTATACACAGGCTTGCCAAAATATGAGCACAGTGAGATAAAACAAGAATAAACAGGACAGCACACAGAATTCCATCCCTCTAATATGGCTTATCACTTCCCTGTCAACATCACATCTCATTCCATCAACCGTTTCAATTTATCACATGGGGCGAAGGTCTGCAGACTACAGGCTATTTTTGCCATTTATTAAGAAGCAAAGAACCCAATTCTATATTTCAGTGTTAAAAAAAAAAAAAAAAAAAAGGGAAAATTTGAGTCCAGACACAAGGCTGACCGTTTTCTCATAGCTTCAAAGGCGTGCTCAGAATCACTCCTTCTGAGCCACAGATAAACATTTCCACTTAGGAGGAATTCAATTTGGTTGGCTACATTTATGTGGGTTTTTTGTTTTTGTTTTTTTATTTTGAAGGTGTGGTGACACAGGAAGTTTCATTATGTTGATAAAACAACATTAAAAACAACCTATTTTAATATTTATTTTGAATTCAAAACTATTAAATGGAATTACACATGTAACATCATACTCATTTTTGTAGCTCTGTAGTTTCCCCAATAATATAATAATAACAATCTGTAATTTTCTTAAATATCTTTAGGAAAGTAGAGGTAACTCTTAATTCTTAGCAGTTCACCCTAATCAGCGTTTAGTCTTAATGTTTGGCCTGTTTTCACAGGAAGAATCATAGAGGCCGAAGGAGGGTGTGAATATAACCTCATGGACTTTTGCTCTTCTAATCTAAAGTGATTTAAAAAAAACAAAAAAAAACAAAAACAAAAAAAACACCATGGTTCACAGTCTCAGCTAGTTGTAATTTCTCACTGAAATTACAAGCTTATGATTATGATTATGAGTGCAAACGTATTTATCCAAAGTACGGTTTCAGTTTGTCATCATTGCTAAACAATTCATTTGCTTCAAATGACTAATCAAAAAGGACAGGAGGGAAATTGCAAATTCAATGATTTGATTGTTTCCACAATAGCATGCAACAGCAACAGCAATGACTGGCAGCACAATCAGTGAACTGATGACCTTTAGGTGTAAATGAAGTTCATGTTTATTTAGATGAAATAATTTAGCTGCTATCAACAACCCTAGAAAACGATTCACCATGAGTCAGGTCTGGAAGTATAAATTTAGAGATGGTAATGCTACAAGTCCAAAGGATGTGACTGTGAGACCTGTGCCATGTTGACTACTGACCAGGACAGCAGTCCTCTGTTTGTGGAATCATTTGTCCTCATGGACCAGTGCCAGAGTTACAACAATTATAAAACTTAAAATCGGTAACTCATAAATCAATGTGATTTTCTTTAAATACCACATTTCTAATGGTGCAAATGGATAAAAGAAGCGCAGACAATGACCACCCTCCCTTCATTGTAGGCACCCAGATAACAGAACAGCACTTGCTCACACATTTGTAGCATAATTTCAGAATCTTGAATGCAGAAGTGTAAACAGGTTAGGATCAGGAAAGAAATAAAATCAGCTTGCAAAACAAGAAAATCATCCACAGATCTGTGTGAGCGTAACACCACCAACATGTCTTGTTAGTCCAAAAAAGTTAAATTTTTGTTGAATTAAATAAGTGAATAGACTATTTGGGGGGGGGCACTGACAAGAAAAGAAAAAAAAAAAAAAAAAAGGAGGGTGGGTAGGGTTAATGTGGTTTGTACTTCTGCTTGTGATTCCAGAGAGGTATCGGGTGGCAAGTTAACCTGGTCTGGAATTTTTCTTTCACCTGGCACTTTTTCAAATCTTGATGTTTGGTAACACAGTTCATCAGCAGGACAGACCCGCAGCAGCTTCTTTCCTGTGGTCCAGCAGTTGGTGCTGAGTAACATGCTTCCTCCGTTCCACACCTGGTTCTATATTTGGAACCAGTGAACCCAAAGCTAATCTGACTTAGTGCTTCTCAATTTGACGCGCCACAGTCTTTCATCGAGAATCAGGAACTCAAACCCAGCCTCTGTCACGGACAGCTTACCCCACAGCGGAAAACAAAAGAATGAATATGGCTGCTCTGTAAAACTTACAAAAAAAGAATATCATACACCCATTTCATTATTTATTTAGAAAGCAAAAAAAAGAAATAGGACACACGAAGCAGTGAACAGATTTCTGCAAGCTGGGATTAAGTCTGGAAAAGAAAGAATTTTTGTGACTTTCTTTCGTTTGTATGCAGGAGCGAGTCAAGAATTTAGTGTTCAGTCTGCCCAACTACACTGAGCATTTACAACCATCGTGTCTCAACTGAAAGCACTGTACAGTCTTTTGGGCTTCACAATGATGCTGACAGAGTTTGAGTGTGCACAGCTGTTTGTTTGTTTGTATACACTGGTCAAAGGGGTGTGTGTGTGTGTGTGTGTGTGTGTGTGTGTGTGTGTGTGTGTGTGTGTGTGTGTGTGTGTGTGTGCCTAATAGCTGTCACTGAATAAACCTGTATACTAGTCAGGAACTCTGAACACACCAGTATACTTGCCAGTGACCTCAAACAGAGCGTGCATATCTGTACACTTGTGTTCTGTTTGCTATGATCTTGAAGGTGCATCCTCAAAGCTGATGATGCTGGACTCTGGGTGCTGCACTCCACCCGAGGAAGGTGCTCCGCCACTTTGTGACATCAATGATGAGGAGGTGGAGGAGAGGGAGGCACTGATGGCTCCCCCTGCTGTTCTTGGTGTGGAGGAGGGCTCACGTCCGCCTGGTAGGAGCGGCTGTGTGTCGGTTCTGACCTCGTCGTCATCGTCGTCTTCCTCGTCATCCATGCTGGGCCAAGCAGACTGGTCCTCTACGCGTTTTAGACGCTCGTTCAGAGCTTTCAGGGCCAGTTGTCTACAAGGATGAGACGAAGAGAAATGCTTTGCTTCAATGATTTCAGGGCTCAAAACACTAAACTACTGACATAATAAAAAGAAGTGAGTAATGTGTCTCTATGGGATTCTTGTAGGAATTTCATACGTACACACTGAGAGTCTTTAATGATAAAGACTAAAAAGCTGATAATGTTGAACAATATTTAAATTCACCAAAATAAAAAATACATATAAAAAACGAGCAACATCTACCAAGTGGGCCCCTCAGGGAGTTCAAATAACTTGGCTTCAAGTATCTGACACAAGTTTTTGTGTGAGGCAACATCAGACTCAACCCAAACACTGCTTTTCTAATTGTAAAATAAAATGTGACTATTTGAATGGTGCCAAAAGAACAGAAACATTATGTTTGCACTAGTCTAATCAGAATTACATCCATTTTAACTGCGTGTAATTCTGATTAGACTACTTCATACTGCACTAATCTCACCTTTTGTCTCAAACACATCAGGGAGTCAGTGGAAACGAAATACTAGAAATTAAGATTACATCATTGTGCAATTAAAGCCTCCCAACAATTGTGACGCTGAACATTAAGAGAAACACAGAACCTGACAGGAAAAGCACCAATAGAGCTTTTCACATGCATCAACTCATTTTACCAAAGTTGGTGGTTAAGTCAAAAACTACCGCAAACGTACAAAACTACTGCTGACTCTTTGCTCTTCATTTCCTCCATGGTGCATTACCTCTTATACTAGTTGTGCCGAGGTGTGACGTAATTAACAAAGAATAAAGTCACACTAAATTGAGTAGATTGGCTGCTGTCGTGACACCCAATCAAGCTTTTTGTCAAACTGAATCCATCCATTCCTAGTTATGACAAATCAATACTTACTAGAGCTACCTCACCAAATTCTCTGTTGTCTTTTAGGATTGATTTTTTAAGTAGGAGTACCCAAATCTAGCAGTGAAAAAAAAAATCCTAAATAATGTTTTACTTAACTTTTGCTCAAAAGTCAACTCTAAATTTATTAAAATGTCAAAGAAGTCATTGCTGCTGTGGGGGCATTTATTTCGCTCCAAACATGTAGCCAAAAAAGTTGCAAATGTATAATTCACAATTGTTTCACATCAACAAACATAATCTAAAGTGGTAACAGTAACTTGTTTTAAGATATCTGTGCTTACACACAGACGTCACTGAACACACTGGCAGACTTTGCTATTCTAGACAAAACACACATGTCACACCCAGTCTTTTCTTTGGTTAACTACATGGCTACTAACAACTACTGTAATATTGTAAAAAATTAAATAAATAACTGTATCATGTTAATGATACAGTTATGATACATAAGTATTTAAATTAATATGCAATTCTTATTTTGTACATTTTTTACAGTTACGATTATTGTCTCTTCCCTTACTTTGTAAATTTGCCAAACATGACACCAAACACACACAATAAAGTATATTTTGTAGCTATCCCATTAACACTGTATTATTAATGAATGTGTATTGAGAGTCTGACATTTTAAGAGCCATAACTCAAACGTTCTCTTTTAATAGAACGGCATTAGAATGCCATTAGGAACCTATTCGCACCATTTATTTAATGATGCAGGGACTGTTGGAGTGTGGCCTTAACGTGGGCATTTTAGACCATAATTTGAAATATAAATAGATGAAGGCAAAAATAACATTTTATACAACACTTTACTGAGACAAACTGAGGCTGGTTGTATTCAATGCTTCAATTTCAGTTTAGTGTATGAGGACATATGTTTACAGATGTAAATATTTAACTCCTTCTTGTTTGCGCTCACTCACCTCCTCCTTTCTGCATCCTGTGGGTCTGTCCCAGGTAAGCTGATGGTGATGGAGGAGGGCGCTCCCACGTCGTATCTCTTTACCATCTTCCTGCACACCTTCATCTTCACCAGGGCAGAGTGGACGAGCCCTGCCAGCAGTCCCACAGCTGGCTGCACTGCCTCTGGGAAGAAACTTGCGAAGGCAAAGTGGTCTGACATGTCGCCGCGGCCCCGGCTGTGCCTCTGGTAGAAGCGCAGGTAGACCCATCCGGACAGTGCACCATAACTGTATGAAGCCAGGGGAGCGGAGCTGTCAAGCAATCCAGACAGGCGCAATAAAGCCAGGAAGAGGAGGACCAAAGCTGGTGCTGCTTTGAGTCTCACCTGAAAGGAACAAAAAGACTTCAGTTCTGGTGGCCAAAATCATCGAGGAAGCTACCATTTTATAAAAACTTGTTGGCTTGCAGTTCTCACAATCTCTTTAAGTGAGTTAGATTTAGGAATGGGGAAAACCAACTGGTTAGATGCCGGGTAACAGGCAGAAGTCACAGTCCAAGTGTTTCAACAAATGTTTCAACAAAGTTCCTAACCTGGTCAATTGAGACCAAGAGATTTGAGAAGTGACCCAGTTTCACTCAAACTGGCAACAAGCACAAAAAGCAAAAATGAGGGCAAACTAAGGCAGAATGGCCAAGACGTTTCAGAAACTTATTGGGAACATGCCACTAAAGTGTGTCTCAGCAAGAAAAACTAAAACCTTATCTGGACACAGCTGCTCTGCAGACGAGCAGGAAACTAAACCCTAAAATGTAAATTAAAAGACTGCACTGTAATCCAAATGTCGAAGAAAATCGAACACAGGCCAACTGGAGAAAACGCTGAACACCTCAGTCTGTAAACTACATGTGCTTACACAGTGATAACTTATGACCATATAATCCCATTAAGAGCAAAAACTGGTGACAAAATGACACTTGGATGAATGAAACCTCTGAAAGCGTTTCACGTTTTGCAACATGATTTTTAAATTAATATACAGATGGTAGAAATATGACAATTAAAAAAAGTTATGTCTCTCCTCCAGCATAAACTACAAACAGACCACTTTTACAGACTTTGGGAAGACGACTTACAAGTGTTACAGTTAAGGCAATAAATCTGTGATATCTAGCTGACAGAAATCTATGTTTTGTTTTGTTTTTATTTATCACTTGATACAAACCCAGCCCTGTGACAGACTGGTGACCTGTTATGGTCAGTCACCTCACACCCCTGAGTTTGAAAAGTTGAAGTGGATGGATGAATGGATAAAGTCCAAATAACAGACCTCTGTAAAAGACCTCTGAGGAGGGGGTGCCAAAACTTCTCTATACAGGAAAAAAGGTAAAACACCAAATCCCCATATAATGCAAAAATAACGCAATAGATAAAAAGA